TTAATATGTATAATAAGCATGTGTTTACATAAAAAAGTATATAATATATGTATTTATATCAGTTGTCTAGTAGCCATAGTACAAGCTCTGCTTAGTTTGGGACTAGATGGCGTTGTGTGAATGTGGTAGAATATTATTATTATTATATCAATACTATATTTTGGTACATTCGACCCGATTCTATAACGGAGGATCTACATGTATTATCTGATATAATTGATTATTTCATATAAACCAGCCAATTTAATTGAGACTAAATGCCGTTTAAATTGGCATGCCAAATTTAATTCGTATTCAAGGTAAAAGTTCTTTCAAGAGTTCGTTCAAGGGATTTGCCATTTTACTGCCAAACGATAAGTTTAATCATAAAACAGTTTAGATAAAAAATGTGTAGATCATTCTATAAAAAATGTTCTTTTTTTCTAAGTTAAAAGGTCCTGTTCATTTGAACGAATACATCTATGAAACACTTCTTTTGACTAGCTATGTAAAGTTTTGAAGTTAATTAATGATAAAGATAAAAAACTCCAGGAATAATATATGGTTAACTTAGTTATTTCTTAGCTATTCAAGATTTAAATAATTAAACAAGTTCAAGTTTTTTCTGTATGGAAGATTGGCAAACAAGCAGACGGGTCACCTGATGGAAAGCGATTACCGCCGCCCATTAACGCCTGCAATTTAGGAGTCACAAGGGCGTTAAAATTTTATATGGGCCTAGCTTTCACATTTACAATATAAGTATGGATTTTAGTTAATATTTTGTACTTCTTTTGGTAAGTAAACGACAAGAAATGCATTCTAAAGCACAAGACATAAAATATCAACTATTGTGTAGGAACGACACGAAAAATTTACGTCTTAAGGAAATTAACAATCAGTTTTGAAAATAAAAGGTATTGAGTGTCACGTATTAATTTATTAAATAGTTTTCTTAAGTAGTGAGCTATGTAACAAGGTAAGGATATTGATTATATTCCACCCGGTTATTTTATAACAGTCTTGTTAAAGGCAATCGGTTTTGTAGAAAATTCTCTACATTGTTTTATAATCCACCTGTATGGTGATCGTACCTGATATTGTTTAGGGATATTATTAAGTATCTTCTGAGCACCGCCCTATCATTAATTTCTACAAAAACTTTTGAATATGACTGGCCTTAAAATGGCTACATTCTGTAACGAAAAATACGTAAACACTCTTTTTGTCTTCGGATTCTGCACCGGTGACGCTACAGCAGCTCAGAGAGAATATATGATGAGGTTTTCAGATCGATGGGTACCAAACATATGAGGGTTTTCGGGGAAGTATCGTCGCCTTTGTGACACTGAAGGTAGTGTACAATTTAATTGTACGCATCAGAAAGAAGATAACATTAGTCTTGAAGTTCTATTCGATAGGTTTCAACAATCGTCGCAATAAAAGCCTACCTTTAAAGTCAACTTTAATATGAATTAGGGTCGTCAACTAAGATCCGTTTTTGATACGTCTAACTGACGAGGAACTATTCCTCGTCAGTTAGACGAGGAATAGTTGACAATTAATAACAGCGACAGGTAAAGAAAAATGTGGGTGATTCGAAGTGTACAGACGACTCTATAATCTAAGCTTTTCTAAAAATAGAATACTATTACTTCACAAGATATTCAACGAGTAATTAAGTTATGTATGTTTAAAACTGTGTTTTCTGTAACTACTGTTTTCTGAGACGTGGTCATAGTTACAGACAAAAACCGATAACATTTAATTAGGTGTAGCTTGTAGTATTAACTTTTTTTAATTTGCCTTTTTATTTAATTTGTAATTCAGTCATTACATTTATTTTACATAAATCACCTTTACAAATAAATCTTAAAAAGCCAAAAATCGATCTAAGTGGCGGGCAATGGGGGAGGCCTATTTTCAGCAGTGGACTGCGATAGGTTGATGATGATAGAGACATATACATAACCCCCCATATTAAAACATGATTTGTTTTGATCTAAGTAGCATCTTATATGACGGTTTGCTCTATTCAACCGCATTGCAGTAACTTTGTTCTGACTCTGTTCTTTAGCTGATTTTATTTACTGACCTCGTATATGTTACCAAAACTGCATCGGTAGCCTTCATAGAAACGTAAATAAAGATTTGAACGAAGGTGATCTTTCACATTCAGGTTGATATTATTATTGTTTAAAGTCAGGTACTACTTAGAGATGGAATTCTCCTTTAAATTATAAAATAGTAGCATATCAATTACGTAAAACTTAGATTATATATAAGTTCTTTGGTTTTAAGATATCATTTGTAATATAAATCGAACAATAATCTATAAATAATCGTTATCGCTGACGTCTTAAATAGAAAAATGATATAAGTATTTTCTTGTAATTACTTTATTATAGGGTCAGATGGGGTAAATGAGAATGTGAATGCCGATGTCTGCCTGTGAAGTCGGAGATTTTGAAAACCAGCAAATCTATTCAGATTTAATTATCTGTGGATTGCCGCGCAATTCGAAATTCAAAATTTGTTTGACCACAGTTTTACATAAGGATTTCTGTAAATTTGAAGTTGATGCATTCACGTGTTCGTGAGAAAAAGGGCGTTGACGAACAAATTTTTTTTTTACTTTTGAGAAACGGAGCCTTAAAAATGTAATGGTATTTAAATGTGTTAGGCATTTAGATATTTTAGATTACTTAAGATACGATTACTATCGTCATCAACAATACTTTATTCCGAAGTATACGTATCGATGCCCATTAATCTTTTTTCAAGATTATTTTCTACTTTTGAATGAAAAATGATAGTTCATACTCGTAGCACATCCAAGAGTTATCTTTTGATCACTTGAAAATGTCAATATCATGTTTTATTGAATCCCTAGTATCTAGAACTTATGTACATAGTGATATGTGCTTTGTAAGTGTTTGTCCATTGGAATAGTTGGGTACACGTAAATAAGGTATTTTATTTTATAGCGAGCTCAAATAACGTTATCGATTCAATCAGGCACCTTAGAAATTTTATCACCAATCTGAGTATACAATTTTATCAGTTTTACACCATTTTAATCCTGATTCATGGAAACATATGCCACTTAAAACCAGTATATGACTTTGCAAAGTACTTTCTTTTTTCTAGTAAAATCACCAAAAATGGTTTATTGATTCATATTTGCTTTTTTCATCAATCATCATCAACAGCCTTTAACAGTCCACTGCTGGACATAGGCCTGCCCTTAAAGAGGAGGTTTTGGCCTACTATACCACGCTGGCCAGACGGGTTGGTATAGGGTTTGTGTCAAGTTTTCCTTCTCTCTGCAGCGCTGTTGTTATGCGTAGTTTTTTCCCTTAGTCGGCTCTTACGACACCCACGAGATGAATGACATCATGAATGACATAATGCTGACACTCTGTATTCTTAATCCGTCACCACACGGTTGCTTTTTTACATTGTAGTTATTAATTACGTTTTCAAAGGTATTTCAAAAAATGTGTTTTATTTCTTAATAAACTTGCTACAATATGGTGCATGTTTAACATTACGATTATATGTATATGTACGCTAATAGCTGCTCGATAAATTCCATTTGATTATTATATATTAGTATAGTGTAGTATTATTATATATATTGGTGATTTATTCTGGTAACTCTCAGTGTAGACAGGTAAATATTGTGCACTTGTTAACTTTTATTTCAAAATATTTATGAAGCATAGTTACGAAAATACGAATGAAGTACATTATTGTTGTAGTTTTGTTTTATGTTAGAGAGTAAAAGAAATAAAAACAGTCACGGGCGAGCTAGTGTTAAAAGGCGCAATCTATTTATTATATTTGAGAAAAAAAATATATTTTAGTTAAACGTTATGGGAGTGCGCAAGAAAACTGTAAAAGAAATGATTAGAAAACTTTACTAACTTTTAACAGTTTTTTTTCTATTTATAACAATTCTCACTCTACAGTTCACTTTTATAAATTGTCATCAAACCTGGCTTGGTAAGCAATGCTTTTGAAAATACATGTGAGGTGCTGTCTTATTAAAAGCTAGCTATGCTACCATCACTTGTAATTAAACACGACTGTTTCCTTATATTTGTCCAAAACATGGACATATCTTTAATAAATTACCCCTTTCATCTTAAAATATGATTGATTTTCTATTTCAAGGTGTAAGTAATGAAACATCAGGGGTAAGTTTTTAAGAATTGTTTAATAATCTTAAAGCTTAATGATACTCAAGCATATAAATACAACATATATTAATAATATAAAGGTACAGGTAAAATACAAAGGGATATATTGTATTCAATATATACATATTAATTTTATATTACATATCATTACATTTTCATTTTGTATTTTTTTAAATATAACACAGGTATCTATTGAAAAAAAAAATTAGAAACATTTAATCCAAAAACATGTTTGCTGTTTTTTTTTAATTTAACCGAATCTGTGAACGAGACTGCCATTATTTATGAAAAATTTTCTTTTATTTACTTTAGAATTCTCAGTATTGTTCCTGTACCAAATACTTTATTTTACTAAGGAAATATAAAGATGATGAATATCTTGAAATATCACAGTGTTTTAGCGACGATCATTCACATACAGCAAAGAGCTACAAAAAATGAAATAAGTTTATGCTTTTTTATTGTACCGATTTTCCTAAATGGCACAACCCAATACAAACTCCGCCAGTTTTTACAGAGTTGTGTCTGTCAATACTGAGACAGGTCTTGTTAATCAATGCCGACAATATAATTCAAAACTTAAAAATTACATTGACTTTACTTTTTACATTATCTTACCTTAATTTTTACTCTTAATGAGTGTCTAGTAGTCATTTTTGAATAGTGGTTAAATTTGTCTTATACGAGTAACTATGTCTTATATTAGATAAAATGACAAAAGTTTAAATGCGCAAAATATATCAGAATATTAACTTGTGAGTACATTTTTCATTTAAAATTAAATACAGTTTTCATATCTCTTCTATATTCTATATTTTACAATTCCCCTTTAATGTTGGAACATGCTGTAAAGACAGGAACGACTGCATTTTTCTCTATCTTATTATTTATCTAACATTTTAATTAATTAGGACTATTTTTATTTACCTATAAGTCGTGCGACAAAAGTAATGCATGGATTTATAAGAATGATGGCTGTGAAACCAGCAGACAATCCTATTAGAGTTTCCGTATTTGCTTGACCGAAAAAGTTACGGAACGCATTGTTTTGAAAGCCGTAGCAGAGTGAGATGGTAGATGCTCCGAATGCAACAATTCCGAAGCAAATATGTGTCACCTTCGATAGCCTGCCTGGAAGTGGGACCAGCTTTTGAATTTCATAAGCATACAGAGATGCTAATCCGTTGACCAATGAGACAGTTGTGAAGACTAAGGCCACGAGAGCTGTGAAGAAAAAAAACTAATGTAATGTAGTGGTTTTAGACTTAAATAATAACTTTCATAGATGGATAAGCAGACATATGTATATATATCACATGTAGTATACACACATGTATATCCTTATGTATAAGTATAAATATCTTGTTAAGTATAATTTTCATAATTAAATAGTGATGTAATGAATTTGGAAGTAAATTTAAACAACATTTTCATGTAAAATGTTGCCGCGACGAGAACATATGGCTTGGCTTACATTGCCAAAAAGCTATCAGATCTTATGCAGACCCAAGTCGCTCTAACTCTACAAGCCCTAAATTCACAAACTATACACCTTTATTCAAAATATGTGGCTTTTCCATTTCGCTACCGTCACATGGGCGTAAGGTGACAAAATTATTCTCTGTTTATTACTTTCTGTTATACAATAGTTCTTGTTGAAAAAGCTTCTACAATATTACTACTACTTCTTATGAGTATAATTACATAAATACAGCTACGCATCAGCCTCAGCTTTCGAATTCCTTATTTGGTAGGAGGTAAATATTTGGAGGTTAAGGTAAATATTTGGAGGGCCAAATAATTAAAAAAAAAATGTTTACCAAATTTGCCGTGTAAACTATCCCAGTTTGTAACCTTATGGCGGCTCATAATGATACTACCAGCAATTGCCAATCCAGATCCTAAGATTTGCAGGATCCAGTGGGCTCGTCTTTTGTCCACAATCCTCAGATGTGAAGACCAACCATTGTATGGGGACAGACTGAGTATAGACTCAGCCATCAGTAGATGATACTAAAAATTAAGATAAATACAATTAATAAATGTTAAATATGCAAGCTGTTGCAGATCATGGACGTAAATCTTTTTCACTTTCTTAACATTGGTTCTATCAATTAATTAACAGAAAAAGAGGGATTTTTTAGATAAAGGTACCGTGAGCCCTTTCTATATGTACAGAAAAAGAAGCATCCGTGTGGTGACGGATTAAGAATACAGAGTGTCACCACCCCTGTTCATACCGTGGGTGTCGTAAGAGCCGACTAAGGGTAAAAACTACGCAGGACAACAGCACTGCAGAGAGAAGGAAAACTTGACACAAACCCTATACCAACCCGTCTGGCCAACGTGGTATAGTAGGCCAAAACCTCCTTTCTAAGGAGAGGCTTATGTCCAGCAGTGGACTATTTTAGGCTGTTGATGATGATGATGATGATGAGAAAAAGAAACCAAAACCATACCAACCAAAATCATAAATCACATTGCATCATGATGATGAAGCAGTCTAGCGTGACGTACAAATAAATTTATATTATAATTACGTAGGATATCTGATTGATTATATTGTATCAGTTACGTGATCTAAGCAAAACTACATTAAAGAAAAATCAAATTAATCGTTATATTCTATTAGATACCAATGTAAATAAACTAACATGTATAATGTATATATTTTAAGAATATAGTTTTCTACTGCCATTTATGCCATTGCCATTATAAGTCTGGGGTACTTTTAAAGGCGACATATTAAATATTGCTAAACATTATTCATAGTATAGAATATAGCCGGCGTCATCTCCGATGTCGCTAACGAATACGTAGAGAGCCACGGCTTCAAAGAATCTATGTGTATAAACAATCGTATTATATTTAAAAACTACTAAAATTATTCAAAACATTTCAAATAACTTTGAGTCTTAGACGCTTAAACATAAACAGAACTGTATGCAGCCAATATATTTGATAGAATTTTCAAATTTTGTAAACCGATGGTTCTCTCAATTTATCTACTAGACAAAACAGCTGCTGTTAATATTTGGAAGAGGTGGAAAAAATGATATATGCTCCAATTTTTTAAGGAGTTGGCTATCCCGCAGGCAAGTTCCAGGTTACTATGTCGTGGAAATATGATCAAAGTAAAAGTAAACCAAATTTCAGATCAATCGGACCTGTGATTTTAGTGAGATTCCTTCATCACTTAGGTAGTAAGTTGATGATTTTCAAAATTTATAATCCGCATCGAATAAAAAATCCGCATCGAAATTGGTCCATTCGTTCGGGAGCTATGATGCCACAGACAGACAGACTTTTGACATTGAGTTTTAATAATTTTAAGAGTATACTTTGAGAACGTTATGTTGTTTATGAGTCTTGATGAATTAAAAAAAATATTAATTAAAACTTACCCCAAGAACACATAAAACTATATGTATAGCCATGTTTCCCAAAGGTAATCCGTTTCTGTAAGCGAAAAATAGACACGAACCTACAACGATTCCAATTAGTATATGAGCTAACAAGTTAAGCGATGACTGAAATGTTCTCAACTTGTATTCATTCTTTGATTCAAACGCAGGAGCAGATGGAGTTTCCGTTTTCATTCCGTTTTCCATTTTTAAATTTTAAAGTTATCTTTTTCAAACGAAAAACTAGTCACAGCTTGTGTGAACAATCGAAAGAGAATGAAGGTTTTTCCTAATGTATAGCCTATAATAAGTCCAGATAAATTTATCACCGTGATAATTCATCGTAGATACACATACATACATCTATATCTAATCCATCTTCGATTACAGAAATTATTATAGTAGTAAATAATTTTATTACAGACTAAACAATGGTAACCGTTAGTTCCTACAGTGTCGACGTAATATTATCGTAATTGATTGATTGACTTATTAAATGAAATTTGGCAAACGAAAGTCAAGGTTGGCAAACAAAGGTCATGACGAGATAGCGACAGTTATTATTAAATCCGTGGGTTTTTTGATATGTCATCATATTAGTTACATTTTAAATTTGTGTTTTGATGATGGTGTTTTCCCTGAACGTCTAAAAATAACTATTATTAAACCACTGCACAAAAAAGGTACTGAGGACCAAATTAATAACTACAGGCCTATTGCGTTAATATCTATTATATCTAAAATCTTCGAAAAATATATTTATAATCAAATATACAAATATTTTGAAACAAAATCTTTATTCTGCCATCAGCAAAAAGGCTTCAGAAAAAACATGAGCATTAATAAGGCTATTTATGATTTTTTATTAAACATAATGACTAATATGGACAAACGGACACCTGTATGTGCTATATACTCGTACTGCGACATGACGCAGGCGTTCGATTATAAAATATTAAAAAATAAACTAGAGTGCTACGGTGTAAGAGGAAACATATTAAATCTTTTGAATTCTTTCTTATCAGACAGGAGACAAGTAACTGTGATCTCTAGATTGGACAATAGGACTAAAACAGAGGTGTTACATACATCCTGTGAACGTAAAATAAAATTTGGAATACCCCAAGGAAGTGTAATCGGACCTCTCTTATTCATTATTTACATAAATGATTTACCTTGTTCTACTGAGCATCCAATGACTCTATTTGCTGATGATAGTACATTAACAGTGACATGCAAAAATCCTAATTTATATGAAAATGACATCAATAATACCTTGACATCAATGATTACATGGTTAAATAACAATAACTTAAAAATTAATTTAAATAAAACGAATATAATGTATTTTAGCAAGCGCATTGATACCCCGTCAGAAATGAATATAAACTATGATAATGTTGCAATAAGAGAAGTATTTAACACGAGGTTTCTTGGTTCGATCATAGATAAAAAATTAAATTCGAAGGAACATATAAATACTGTCAGTGATAGATTAAGCAGATCTTCTTATGCTCTGTATAAACTTGCGCCCACGGTAAATGTTGATACCTTACTTACTGCATATCACGGATTAGTGGCCTCGGTATTAAGATATGGAATAATTTTTTGGGGCAATTCAACCAATAAATCTTCAATATTTAAGCTTCAAAAACGATGTATCCGCTCTATGTTTGGACTAAAAATTACAGATAGTTGTCAACCATACTTCCGTAATCATGGCATTTTAACCCTTCCATCATTATATATTTTAGAAATGTGTCTCTTTGTGAAAAATAATCCTACATCTTTCCCAAGATTATCTGATACAGTTCAGCGCAACAGACGAGACAATCAACGACTACGTATGCACAGTGCCAAAACTGCTCATTTGGCTAGTAGTGTAATCTGTATGGCACCCAAAATATTTAATAAATTACCAAAAGAGTTTAAGTCATTGAATCATAATTTGTTTAGAAGCAGAGTTAAGGAAATGTTGGTTAAGAAATGCTATTATAATATTCACGACTACTTAAACGATAACTCTTAATTAATTATATTATTATTTTTACAAGGTTTTCTCTTTAGCTGTAACTATTTATCTTGACATACATATTATAGTTTTTTTTTTTTTCATTTTGACATTTAATTCTGACATTCTATTTTATTTTTGACATTTTTGACATTCCTAGCCCATATAATTATATTATTGTATTGATGATTATTGTGTTATATTTTATGTCCTTTGACAGTTTGTCTTTCAAATACATGACATTGGCGAAATTGTGGTTACACTCTACCACAAAGCCATTAACCAAAAGTTGAAGTTGAAGTTATATTTTATGAAACTAATGTAATTACTATCTCAATCAATTTATATTTGTACGCCGTCCATGGCAAAACATGTTGATACACACAAACTAACCAATTGAACTGTTTAGGATTCATTTCCTGTAAACTACACATGTTTGAAGCAAATAAATATATTATTATTATTCTCTTTATTTACTTTATATACATATTATTTACATTTTTAAATATACACTTTATAAAAAAAAAATACATTTAAAAATATAAAAAATAGTAGACCACCGACATCGGGTACAGGGACCAAGACACCGGTGGTTAGGACTCCAAAGATAGGAACCTCCTCACTATACGAGCCGTGTCAAGGAGGACTGCCTTCTGCATCAGACCCTTGATCCAGCCATCCAACGTGAGCCTCTTAAGGTGTTGGTCGAGGCTCTTGGCTATCAATCCATGAGCAGATACGACTATCGGAACAATGATCACTGAATCAACATTCCACATATCGACAATCTCGTGAGATAAATCCAAATATTTAATTTGTTTTTCTTTTTCAACTTTCACGAGATTCTCGTCATGAGGAACGGCGACATCAACAATCATTGCGCGGCGCTCTAATCGATCTATCAACACAATATCAGGCTTATTGGCAACAATAGTCCTGTCTGTGATAATAGATCGATCCCAATACAACGTGGCCCGACCATTCTCGAGAACTGGGTCGGGCACATACCTATAGTATGGCACCTCTAGATTCACAAGATGGTATTTAAGGGCAAGCTGTTGGTGTACGATCCTGGCTACTTGGTTGTGCCTGTGCAAATATTCTCCGTTAGCAAGACGAGAACAACCAGAAATAATATGCCTGATTGATTCGCCAGGACGGTGGCATGCCCGACAGATGTCAACCGTACCATCTTTCAGGATATATTTCCGATAGTTATTCGTCATGATAACTTCGTCCATAATCGCACAAACAAAACCTTCAGTTTCTCCAAAGAGATCACCATGCCGTAGCCAAGTCGTAGATGCTTTTAAATCTATATCGGACCCGTTTAGGGCCCGATAAAACCGACCATGAAGCTCTTTGCCCTTCCATACTTCCCTGCGATCATTAACACCAAGTACTACAGGTCTGCGCCAATTCTCTTTAGCCAGAGCGAGCGGGGTGAAGCCGGTATCCACTGCAACTACATTGCGATGCACTCCCACGTCGGTATGTAGAAAATATTCTCTGAGATTGCATACCTCGCGATTATGTAGGGTCTTGATATTTAATAGACCGCGACCCCCAAGCTTTCGCGGGATATACAATCTCATAACTGATGAACGTGGGTGGTGCATTCGGGATGCAGTCAGCAGTGTGCGGACTTTCCTGTCAAGGGCATCTAATTCGGTCTGAGTCCATCTAAGTATACCAAAGGAATACATTAGAACCGGCATGACCCAACCATTGCAGGCTCGCACCTTGTTGCCCCCTGATAAAAGACTTTTAAGTACTTTTTTCAAGCGGCCAAAAAAGCGTTCCTGCAATGTTTGTTTCATGTTAGATTCTGGTATTCCCAACGACTGTGATATACCCAGATACTTGTAAGTTTCAGTGGCAGACAGAGATCTGAGTTTTGTTGAATCCAAAAGCTCTATTCCTTCAGATTCAACTATCACACCCTTCTTTACATACATGACTGCACACTTGTCTACACCAAATTCCATTTTGATAGAATTACTAAAGTTTTCCGTCACCTTTAGTAACTTTGTCAATTGTAATTTGTTGGAGGCTAACAGTTTCAAATCATCCATATAAAGAAGGTGAGATATAACTTGATCATCTTTCTGCAACCTATAGCCTAACCCTGAACCCTCTAATAAAGTGCTAAGAGGGTTCAAAGCCAGACAAAACCACAAGGGACTCAGACTATCACCTTGAAATATACCCCGCTCGATCTTTATTAGTACATCGTGTATCGCTGTCTGCCGACATCCTGGATAGCGAAGTGCCGTTCTCCATTGCCCCATACATGACTTCAAGAAAGTGCACAGAGTTGTATCAATTTTATACAACTCCAGCACCTTCAAAAGCCATGTGTGTGGAACCGAGTCATAAGCCTTCTTATAATCTATCCAACACGTCGCCAAACTCTTACGATTACAACGTACCTGTTGGCTAATGGTCATGTCTATGATAAGGAGGTCTTTAGTGCCACGGGTCCCACTTCTACATCCATTCTGAGAAACTGACATAATCGAATTATTATTAATATGTAAAGTAATTTTGAGTCTCAGAATAGATGTTAGAAGTTTATACATGGTAGGTAAACATGTAATAGGTCGAAAATTTTTGGGATCCATGACACTACCAGACTTATAGAGTAAGTGGGTTATGCCAGTGGTTAAAAATTGGGGTAATGAACCCGAATCCAAAGCTGCCTGGAATTGAGATGCCAAACGCGCATGTGAGCTTCGGAACCACTTAAGCCAAAAGTTGTGCAGTCCGTCTGGACCAGGTGATTTCCAATTCGGTAATGAACGAACTGCACAACTTACATCATCTTTATCAATTTTAACAGGTTCCATAGGTGTTATAGACTCACATGAGCGTCTGACATCCTGCAACCAATCACCTTCTATATGAGTGACAGGCACCGACCAGATGTTACGCCAAAATGTATTTGTGACATTTTCATCTGGCAAATGCCTATCACCCACACATGGATCCGGTTCCTCCCATTTCCGGTACACCCACTTCTCATTTCCTTGGAACATCCGATTCTGATTATACCGATCTGTTCGTTTTTTATACCGTCTTATCCTATTTGCCCATGCATAAATTTTCTGCTTTAGAAAGTCTATGCGCTCTGTGACACATGACATGTACTGCTGAGGACTAATGGTAGTCCCCAAGAATGCCTGTTTCACAAAGC